TTTAAATTTTTAGTTGTCTCCTGATGAAGCTGACAAAAAATCAGCGAAATATAGAGGATTAAAAGAAAAAAGAGGTTTTTTTTTTAATAATAACAGACCGCATACCCGATATTCCAACAATTCCAACACAATAAATTGTTTTTTTTACGTTTCGGTCGATAATCTTACCAGTTTTGCTATATATATATATATATATATATATATATATATATATATATATATATATATATATATATATATATATATATGCAAGGAAGTGTCAAGATACCATGTTTCCGGAACAGAGGCGTGCATGATGTACCAAACTTGACCTTGCATAAATATCTGAGTGCTCTCTTTGGTAGCATAAAATTTCTACTGAAATTATGAAGAGAACAGCTAGCCCAAAAGGCAATACCGTATCTCAAATTAGATTCAATCAGGGCCACATAAACACTTTTTGCAATCTTGAAATCTAAATGGTGAGCAACTGATTTGATCGCAAAGCAACCCGATGATATCTTTTTGCTTAAATATACAATGTGTTGCTCAAATTTAAGTTTATCATCAATATAGAGACCTAAAAATTTGTTTACGGTATCAGAACAAATGCCTTCATGGATCAGAGTAATGTTGTTTAGATCATTCTTAAGGCCGATCCTCGCGATTCTGGGCATAGGTAAATTCCAATGTAAAAGTTTATATCAAATAACTCAAAAACTATGGCAGATATTGAGATGATTCTTTTTTTATATGGAAGGTCTTAAAAAATTCTAGTGCACTATTTGGTTCAAAATTAATAAATTGTTTAAACAATTTTTTTTTCAAATATTTTTGGTTAAAATAAACGTAAAAATTTTTTGTTTGAAATAGGGCACTACAGAATTTGACCCACTTTCCGAATCTGTTTTTATTTTTAACATAACGTGTAACACAAAGCAGCTATTTGGTATAAACTTTTAAACAATTTCAAAGTTCCGCTAAATGTAATTTTCTCTCCGTCAGCACAGGCTGTCCTTGTCGGTAGCTTCCGGATTCTCGCCAGGTAGGTAAAACCCTCGGAGGAGGATAAATAAAGTTGAATAACATTATTAGGGCTTATTCCGACTTTTGACAAACCAGTGTGTTTGTTATATTTAAAATAGGAAATTTTATATAAATAAGCAGTAAGTACCTATAATTTGATTAAATTTTTATATGAATAGAAATATTTTCTGTTGATTAGTGACATTTTCCTTTTAAATATTTATACTGTTTTTATAATAATACTATTGTTTCAGTATTTGCTTATATAATAATAATTTATTATATAGAAACAGCGTAGAATTTTGGTCAATCATCCAGTACATCTTTTTTTGTATTTCAATCAGAATTATTATTTTCTTTTCTTCTTTACATGAGCTCAGAGTAATAACCAAATATTTTGCAGTATTTGAATATGGAATTTAATTATTTATATTTATTGGTTAGCAACCTACCAATCGTAAAATCAAATACTGCTCAAAGAAACAATGTACAGTCTCGGAACCGGATTGATACTATGAAGACGACTACGGCAAGAAATAAGGACAAGCGAAAAACATCCAAAACCCAGATGAGAATTACTTGGAATATCAGATCACTCAACTCAAAGGACCAAGAAATAACCCAAGTGTTGAAAGAGAAAGAAATAGACATTTGTGCTCTACAGGAAACAAAAAATAAAGGAAAAGGTCAATCAAAATTAGGTGAATACATACTAATCTACAGTGGAGTAGCAAAAGAAAACAGGGCCAAAGAAGGTGTAGCCTTACTTATACACCAAAGGTATCAAAATTGCATCAAAGAGTGTCAATACATATCAGAAAGAATAGTAACAGCAAAGATAAGAATGGAGAAGGAAAACCTGAACATTATCGAAGTATACGGCCCAGAAAATAATAAGCCTCAAACAACAAGGGAAGTGTTTTACGACCAATTACAACAAGTATTAGATCAAGTCAAAGAAAAAATGTTAATTCACAGGTAATTTGATTATAATAATTAAGGAACCTCATTGATGCCATGTTAAGGAATGGGATTTGTATTTTTTGTTAAAAAATTTGCACAAACATTGTACCTTTACACGACCCTCTACGAATTTTCAAAAATGTAGTTCAGATGGTGACTAGGAAGAACCTACAAATTCATACCGAACAAGCAATTTCAAACTAATAAAATTTTCTATATCTCCGGATCTACTCAATGGATTTTGATCATTCTTTTTTTAATTTGTATGTAATTTCTACGTACATTAGAAATTAGTAATTTGTTTATATATTAATTGATTAATAAATAGTTTAGTTTGTTTAAACAATTCGTGCAAAAACAATTTTCTTTCAGAAATCTATTTTTTTTTTTAATACTAGTATCAATAATCATAGGAAAAATCGCGTTTTTTGCATTAAATTGCCAATAATTAAAAACAGCTCCAAATTCAAGGCAGGAAACAAGTAGGTTTTATTCTTATAGGTCTACAATACCTAAAAAAGTTGTCAGCGACCTGGATTATTGAGTGTCACGGACATGGTCTATTTTTTGCTTATTTCCCTGGAGTCTATATTTGATTACCGTCTGTGTAATTTCTTTGCCGCTTCCTCGCTGGTTTTGCATATTGCTATGATAGCAATATCATCGGTAAATGTTGCAATTGTATATTTTCTAGGACAATAATATAACACGTATACAAAAGGTAAAGACACTTCTTTGTGGCAGCCCTGCTGTAATATCTTTCAATTCCGTGTATGTTTCTTCCTGTTTAATTTTGAAATATCTTTCCAAGATGCAGGTGTCAATTATTTGAGAGTATCGTTTTGGTAAATGTAGTCTTAGTTTATAGTTATGGCGTCCTTACCATACTTTATCATATACCTGAGTCACATTCTAAATGATTGATATAAGGTTGAATGCTCGAATAAATGAACCTTAAAAAATGAAGACAAATTTCGAGCACAAATTTAATAATCAAATCTTGCCCAAAAACTTTCGCTTTCTACAGCATCATAAGGGGCATCTGCGCTTGCTGGATAGCCCAAATTTGACGAAGTAAGTCTAAAACGTTAATCACAAAAAACTTTTATCATCCATTAACTTCGAGTTTTTTATCGAAGGTAATTAATTTTCTTCATTTAAAAAAACTTTTCTTGGCTTATTTCAGATGCCCCTGTTGATGCTGTAGAAAGCAAAAGTACTTGGGCAAGATTTGATTATTAAATTTGTGCTCGATATTTGCCTTAATTTTTCAAAGTACATCCTAAAATGTCCATCATATTATCCGTCATGATCCATATTTCACATCCATATAAATAGTAATACAGTATATTTCATCATCATCATCAATGGCGCTACAACTCTTCGTGAGTCTTTGCCGCGGTTACTATTGCCTTCCATGTTTGTCCGTCCTATGCCAGTAATTCCCATTGTCGCACTCCTATTTTCTCTAGATCTAGGAGTATATTTACATATAACAAATTAAATCCTTAGTTGTAAATTTTTGAAATAAGTTCTCAGTATACATCTAAGTTTCATAAATGCTCCTCATAAATATCACAAATCTAAACTTTTATAATCCGTTCTTTGTTGACAATTAGTTGCATAGGGCCGACGTTTACTAACCACAAGCACACAAGTAAATTATCTTATTTCTTTCATTTGACAATAATAATTGTCTGTTAGGTTAGGATTGTACGAAGTAAATTAGTCTCTTACTGAATGATAATAAACAACACATCAAATTTATTCTGAAACTATTTCTTGTGTCATGTTATATTTTATTAGATTTTGGTGTAATAAACCACAACCTATCAAATTCAATATAAAAAATCAAAATTGGAAATGATAGCAAAATATATGGAGTGCACAAAAACGAATCAACATGAGAATCTGAAAGTAGACAACCATACCTACAAATATGCCTCCACTTTTCCCTACCTAGGCTCAATAATAAATGACAACAACAGCATCAGTCAAGAAATACAAGCACGGATTCTTAGCGGTAATAAGTGCTTTTATGCATACAAAGACTTAATGAAAAGTAAGTTACTGAATCGTGAGTCTAAGCTTAGAATTTACAAAACAGTAATTAGACCAGTTACATATCAATGTGAATATTTGAGCGCAAAATACTAAGGAAGATATTTGGACCAACTCAATGCAGCGATGGTTCGTGGAGAATTACAATGAACCACGAGCTGGATGAACTAATGCAGAGCGCAGATATTGTTAGATTTTTAAAGTCACAAAGACGAAACTGGCTTGGTCAGTTAGAAATAATGCCAGATAATCGAGCTGTAAAAGTAGTCCAGAGATGGAAGCCCCAAGGAAACAGAACAAGAAGAAGGCCCCGTAAAAGATGAATAGACGACGTAGAGGGGGATCTTAAAACCATGAACATCAGGCAGCAGCGAAGGAAAGTATCCGACAGGGCAGAATGGAAGAACATTTTTAAGCAGGCCAAGACTCACAAAGGGTTGTACCGCCATTAGAAGAAGAAGAAGATGTTTTCCAGTATTATTAAAAAGGTGCGAATACGCGTATTAGAATCTCTTTTATAGAATGTAGACGGTTAAGTGTGGTACGAGTAAACAGATCAAATCCATAAAGGATAGTGTACAGTGTTTAAATATATACAAACACAGTTTCCTGAAGATAATCGAACCATTATTAAATAAAGTATGAACATAGCTACTGAAGTATATGTGAGCATAATAGAAAGGATAATTCAACAAGCGATTATGTTAATAAACACATATACAAATAATTGACAAGAATTTTCAGCTACTATGCTAAACGAAGAGCAACAGTAGCTGACTTGAGAGACTACGATAAACAGTTCATTCGATATACAATTTACCATTTTCATGAGGGAACTCCGTATTCGAATTTCATCCACAGTGAACTATCTTTTTTACTCTCAATTAAGTTACCTTTATGAAGAGCATAAAATTAAGTAAGCATTTTAAGAAGCTTTAACTAATTTTAAAAGCAAAAATAAGATACAGTACCTCATCAAAAATAACATATTCCAAATCCCTAGTAATATCACTTCCACAGTAGAGCATAGATCGTAAAATTTCAGTTGTCATAATAAGACAAGATGCTTTTTGATTAATTTGAAAATCTCCAGTAATTAGTCCAACATCATTAAACTTTTCTTTAAAGTCTCTGTATTTCTGATTAGAAAGTGCTTTAATAGGTGAAGTGTATATTGACTTTGTCATGTGCTTCTGAGAGAGCGCTATCGCATACTCTGCTACAACTGCAAGAACAGAATAAATAATTAAAACTATATATCTATTTTGGTTTTGAGAAAAAAATTTTTTTTGGCGAAATCAGGTCGGGCAACAAGACCGACGCGACGAGTATTACCCAAGTAGCCTCTTCGAGCGGGAGAGTCAGTTTATTTTGTCCGTATTTACCTTGTATTTACCAACACAAGCGTTACTACTGTTACGATCAATATGACTCATACCTAAACTGTCAACATATTTTTTAACAAGTATTTTTTAGTAGGGTCCCCTCCGTTAAAACCTGTCTGGCGTCCATGGCGTTGGAGAAAGTTCAGGAAAGGTCACCGACCGAATTCTAGGGATCTCCAGATAACGGTTATTAAATATATATAGAGGAAATTTTTATTGTAAACAAGTTAGTCTGAAAAGAATAATTGTATCGAGTCGAGTTTGAATTGTAACGCGGGAAATAAATGTTGTAAATAAAGTATATAAATTAGAATAGTGTCAGTTGGTGTAAGATTATATATAAATTAAATAAAGACTCTAATAAACTAAGTGTTTATGACAAAAAAAAAAAAAAAAAAAAAAAAAAAAAATATATATATATATATACATATATCTATATATATATATATATATATATATATATATATATATATATATATATATATATATATATATAATTATTTGGAGGGTAACTTTCGGGAAAGCGTCAAAACAAGGATCAGCTAGAGATGGTATAAGCCAGCTTGGTGTAGAACTTTATTCTATATGTGAAATTTTCGGTGATATGTTGTCACCTTCATCAGCACCTAAATGGAAAACCTATTATAGTACAGTGGTGGAAATCAACATTTAAAAACCTACATTGAAAATGTTCAGTTGGTCCTAGTTGTAAAAAACACTGTCACAAACATGTTAAAAATATTAAAAAATACATTTAAAATTTTGAATAAAAACATTACAACAACAGGGTAGTTTTTCAAATACAAACACAACAAAAAGTCTAAAATTTACAACCTACAAAAACTGCAAATAGAAAAGAAGAATTAATCTTCTTTTTTGATGACATATTTCTGTCAACATCCGGGTGTCATATGTAACTTGCCTGCCTGTGAAATGAAAACCATTTATTATATAAATTAGTCATACTTTTCACGTCTGAATCAATAGAACGATATAACTTATTTCGGTATTTCTCCCTCGTCAACCGGTCGGGATGATTCCGATTAAAACCAGGTCAAGGTCCAATTATTATCTCCAAAATCTTCCAACTTAAAGTAGTTCGAGCACAGAGGTGCCACCTGCCTTGGTGGCGAAGAACTAAACAATTAAATAAACGGAGTTGCTATCAACAAGTCCTCACGGACACTTGGTTTAACGGCTAGCAACCCCAGTGACGTTATCATACAACTTAAACATTGTAGCATTTTCAATTTTATTTATTCTTTAAAGTATATTGAAATCCCCTCGTATATGAAATATATTGAAATCTCCTTATATATGTTTAAAAAATAAAACGAAGAATTTTTTCCGTGTTTGTTAGTTCGTATCTTTCAAGTTAAAATACGCAAAAGTGTTTTCAACAATTGTATTTGCATTGCTAGACGTTAAAATAAACCATTTTAGAGTTGTTTATTATTTTAACTTTTTCGGAAATTTCTTTTAATGTTTTATTCGAAGTCGTCTTATAGTTTTTATACGTCGCAAAAGTATAACTACGTCGTTTGGTTATGTTTTGCAATTTCAGCGTTTTGTTTGTTTCCAATTTGTATGAACGAATTCTTAAATTCGTCATTCATACTTGGGTCTTCATAATGTCAGGTATGGATCCGAATTCGTCGTCGAAATCGTGTTTATCCTGTTTTGGCCCTTTTTGTGGAAATATGTGGCAGTAGAAAAAATAATTTGTGTGGTGTAACAGAGCATGGTACAATTTTGAAGACATATTCACCACCAGCTTTTTTTGGTCGTTTGCCTGCGTAATCCAAGCCCGTCTACGTCAGATCTTCGTTCCAGTATGGAATTGGTTTTCCATTGTTCCAGAGTTTCGTCCTAGCAGCTTCAATCCAGAGATGTAACAAGTTTTTTTTTGTTAAGTGAAAATATGTGAATCCAGGTAACTATTTATTGTTTGTTTAATTTCAAAGTAAAGACAGATATTTTTTTAGAACAATAATTGCTTTCGTTAAAATTTAGAAATTGTAACATTTAAAAATTGTAATGCGGTACCATTTGTAAGTTTTATGTAGTATCTCCAACTCCTGGAGTTTGTAAGCGGATGACACACGTAAGTTTTTTATATTCTTGTATTTCTCCATGTAACTGTTAGCGGTGACACAAAAATAAATGTTAAATTTTGTTTTCTTAACATTTTATTTATTTTTTTTTAACTAACCCTTTTTTGATTTTTATTTGAAAAAGATATGTTTTTGATGTTTTCTAATTATTTTCCTAGATACAACTAGTGGTTGTAATAGGTATAATTAGGCACCTCAAGTGGCGCCCTATATTAAATTCCTTGAGGTGTTTCCTGTTTATTTTTATTTTGTTTATCCCAAGAGATTATTGTCCCCTTTATTTCATTTTTTGTAGTTGCCCCATTCCACCCCCCTTGTCTTTTACTTATCTACGACTCCAGCTCTCCTACCAAACCCTGAGTGTCGTTCGCACTTTGGTAGGCAAAATATTACCGTTACAAAAATAGCGCCCAACGTGGCTGGCGTTTTTTAGATTTTTGTCCCTTTTCCAGAAGCCACATATCTTTTTCAGTTCTTCCCTAGTTTTCAGCCATTTATATGAAACCCCGTCTTCCAGATAGTGCCCTGGTGTCCCACAAATAGTTTGTTTATGTATTTGTATTGTTTATGTATTTGTATCAACATATGTATTGTTGTTTTTTTCTATGTATTGTACTTGTATTAACACATGTACTATTGTATATCAACGTATGTATTTGTTGTATATTGACATATGTATTGTTGTTTCTTTTATTTCGTGTACTGTAGAAATTTTTCTATATGTATTTTATGTGTATTGGTAAATGAAAGCAAATATTTGAATTGAATATTAAAATATGAATTTTAAATAATGTTTTGATATTGAGAAGAATTTTAAGTTATTTACAGTAACAAATTATACCGTTATTGTTACATTTATTTTTAATTGATTTGACATTTCTTACAGAATAATCGTTTTTTGTAATTTTGTTTTGTCCGGTCATTTTGAGTAAATGTGTTTATTGTTTGAGTGACTTTTCTTTGAGCAGATGAGTATAGTTGTGTTTTGTCCTAAGCCATTTTTCATCGTTTCCTCTAGGCCCTCTCTGACGGCGTTTGTGTTATGCCACGGGCTAGTAGGAGATTCTGAACGAGAAGTAGTCCCCTGTGTTCCCCTGTTGTTCCCTACCGTATGTAATGCTCCGGGTTAATAGGAGATTGTGTTCCCCTGAGTCCTCTTTTGTGTTTCCTGTCTTGTATCTGAATGACCGCAAGTGTAATACTCGTGATCGGAGGTGCTGTTTAGTTTTGCCTAGGAGCAGTCTGATTTAGTTTTCAGAACAAGAGCAAGGTGTTTTATTTTGTGTTATTTTATGTAGCTCACTCAAAAGTCAAGTTTTCAATATTATTAGTATTTTTGTATCACCCTGTATGTGAAGTTTATCGAGTCTGTTGTTTTGTATCCCCCTGTATGAGTAGTTCATTGTCAGTTTTTTTAACCAGTTTTTTTAGTTACATTGTGTATTTGCTTTCACCCAAACATTGTTTTAGTATTTTTGTTCCCCCTGTATGTGAAGTTCGTTGAGTTTTTCTGTCGAACCGTTTTTTTTCAGGTATATTGTGTATATGCATTTATCCAGTTTTTCGTTAAATCAAGTACATTCCTATCCCAAGTTAACTGCTACGATTTTCATTTTTTTTTTCTGTTCAGTCTTCGTAAAGTTAAAGTATGTATTTTCGTCTATTTTTTTGTGAATTAAATAATACGTATTTAAAATAATATAATCATTCGAAAATGCTTGCCATGCGATTTTCTTATTCGCGGTGTTCTGAGTGGTAAGATAATAGTTTGTTTATTTCCAGATTCGTCGTAAGTATCCCATGTATGAGAAAAGAATTTTGTTTACGTTAACGAAATAATTTATTTCGTATGTAAACGCTGTCCTTTCTTTAAGTGTTTTATAAGTAAATTTATTTCGTCTTCTTATCGAGTGTTTGAGCAATTTATTGCTTTCTTAAATCAGCTTATCTGATGACCCAATTTCGTGCGAAAATATAGGTCAAATATTTTCGTAAAAATTTCATAGCACGGGTGCTGCGATGAAAATTATTAAGAAAATGTTTTCTGTTACAGTCCACTTATGTTTTTTCCCTTGTTTTCTTTTGTGTTATCAGTAGGAGGGAATGATAATGCGATTTCGCTTGTCCATGGCTAAGGCCGATTTGTTAGTGACAAAGCGAAGTATTGTTATTTTCTTTCTGTCTGTTAGTTCTGTGTGTCCCTATGTTTTCTTTGTTCCTTTTCTGTGTTATAAGTAAGAGAAAATGATGATATGACTTCGTGTATTCCTGGCTAAGGCGTTGAGAATATATAGCGGAAGTATTGTTATGTTTTCTTCTGTCTTTTAGTTTTGTCTTTCCGTGTCTTTGTGTGGTCAGATGTTGTAGTAGAGCTATGTTGATGGTATAAAATGTATTAGTTTGTGAATTGAGTAATGCGTTTTTGAAATATCATGTAGGACGTACAGGCACGCGACCTGGATTTGTGTTTCCTAGGATATTTCTGTTGTTGTGTAAGACTGCGTAGCAGCATCCCCTTTCCGTGAATTATTAGAAAGGATAAGCCTTTCTATGTGTTGATGTCAGACTATTGACTTGAGTCTCAATAGCATTCCTTCTTGTTGTAGAGTTTGTGATGTAGTGTTTGTTGCGTAACAATAATACTTAATATTTTTAGTCTATTTTTGTATCATATTATTTAGTTTATTTTTGTATCATACTCTATATTAGTTTAGATATATAAAATT